GGGCCTAGGGCACCCAGGTGGCCCAGCTCCCATGGGCCGATCCAGCTGAGGGGGAGGCCCAGTCGGCGGGAGCCAAGGGTGGGCCGGGCCGGGGCCCAGCACACCCGGTGCGAAGGGGGCCTGGCCCAACAGGCGGCGCGGGTTGCACGCGCATAGGGTTTCCCCTCCCGCGGAAGGCACCGCCGCCACTGCCGGCGCGGTACCGGAGTGAGCCGGCGACCGGCGAGATGGAGCGAGGGAGGGCCGGAAACGGAACGTGGAGGAGCCGAAGGCAGCGATGAACGGCCGGAAGGGCGACAGCCGCCGCACCGGGAGCGAGGGCACAGGGCCGCTGCGAGCCGTGGGCGGCGTCGGGGGCGCCACCGGGCCGGCAATGGGCACCGGACGACACCAAGAGGAGCGGGCGGCGCCCCTTTCGGAGCGGCCGGCCACGCCCCGGGTCCGAGCGTGCCGGCGGCAAGCAGCCCCAGCCCTCAACGCCGTGCCTTGGCAGCCATTGGCCCGAGACGAGCTCAAGGGCAGCGCCTGCACCCGCGACGGCCGCGAGCCGGTGGCAGAACCCCGCTCCTGGGGGGCTGAGCCACCGGGCCGGCATGGCCGCGCGGAGCGGCGCGAGGGGGTGGCGGCCAGAGAGGCATGCGGGGGGAGGGAGGCTCGTCGGCCAGATCCACCCAGCGCAGCCGGGGGTGGGGGAGGGGGAGAGGGCGGGGGCGGACACGGGGGCCGCGGCAGCCATCGACAGCGGAGGGGACGGAGCCACGGCCCTCACGAGGGCCGGGGAGGGACAGGCGACAGGAGCGCCGGCGAGGACGCCAGACGTCGCGGCCGGGGGCGCGTCATCCCGGACATCGCCAGGAGAATCGCCGGAAGCCGAAGCCGCCATCTCTTCCTTCCCTATAGGAAGTTACAACCACCGTGCATGGCACCATGCATTTGAGAACACATTTCCTCAAGACTGACTTAAGACCAGTCAAATTGGTTGTCATCAAGACTGACTCATGGCCACCTAATGAAACACGCCTTTCTTGTAATCAATCACGACTTTTTCAACATTTTCTTCCCACTTTCCTCGTTGTAAATTATCAATACTTGTATATAATAAAAAAGGGCAATCTGCAGATTTGCTGATATAAAATATGACCAATGTAGGGATCCCCTTTTTCTTCACTCCATCCCGCTTTCAGACCTGCAAGTTGGAAGCTCTTTCTGCCTACGAGGGAGGCTACGACAACCGGCTACAGTCAGCAACCATACGAGTCTACTAGGAGCAAACATATCGTAGGAAAGAATACACGCATGATTCCCTGGGCATTTCATCAAACAGTTGATGTGCATCTACTTACTTGTTTAAATAGTGCTACCTAATCAAACAGCCTTTCCTGTAATCAAACATGACTTTTTCGACTTTTTCTTCCCACCTTCCTCACTGTAAATTATCACTATTTCTATATTATAAAGAAAAAGGACAATCTGCAGATTTGCCGGTATAAAATATGAACAATGTAGGGAGCCCCTTTTTCTTCCCGCTTTCAGACCTGTATGTTGGAAGCTCGTTGTGCCTACGAGGCTACGGCAACCGGCTACAGGAACCATACGAGTCTACTAGGAGCAAACATATCGTAGGAATTCACTCATGATTCCCTGGGCATTTCATCAAACAGTTGACATGCATCCACTCACTCGTTGCAATAGTGCCAAATATCCAAGAAGATTTCAGCCAAGGAGTATCCAATCATTGTAGTTACTCTACTTACGCCTCGGCCAGGCAACGTAAGACGGTGGAAACAAAAAATTGAGGCTTACCGCAGCCTGTTGCAGGATAAGGGGCTTGCTTACACAGCTTACTGCTTACGTGGTTGAAGCAGCAGCCACCGGCGGCAGACGAACAATGCGGATCTCGCTATTTTTCGCGGTGCCCGCGAACGCTCAAGATCTCGATGAGGTGCACGTAGGGGACGCCGTCCTTGGAACGGGCGGCGGCTGAGGGGCAGGGCACCGCCGGCAGGCCTGTCGTGCGGCATCTCCTTCTCCTGCTGCTGCACGAAAGCGGAGAAGGAGAAGATGATGTGGGATCCGACCATGGCTTAGGCGGCGAGCACGCGAAGACGGGCGGCTTTGCCCTTTCTTTGATGACGCGCGTGCTGTATCTCTCAAACCCTCTCTCAATTTATCACCCAAATCGCCTTACTAGAGCATATGTTGTTTTTTGCGGCTAGTGCGTGTTGTTACAAGAATCATGGGCGCGGTGTAGATTGTGAGGGGACACTTTTAACTCGATAGAGTGATATTAGTTGCATCTTTCATATGGTGTCTAGCTTGCATTGTTTCTAATTTGTTGAAATGTTTTCTGCTTAATTTATATACATTATAGGTGTGAATATGCCAACACCAGTGGGTCTAGCAGACCTTCAGCATGCACCACATATGCATGTTGTAGAATCCATCGTTATCTTCTTCCGCATCTTCTTCAGGAACAATCAATGCACTGATCTTGGCGGACCCTTCTATCGTCAACGCCACCACAACGCCGGACAATGCTAGCCTCCTGCACCTTCCGCCAAGACTCATCGTGTCGATACTATAGATGGCACACCGTTCCATCTCGATCACTGCACGAGAAGAGAAGCATACGAAGACCTGCGCCTAGCCACCAAGCCAAACAACTGTCCCTCTGTGTTCGGTCTAGACCTGTAACGCTTGTCAGCAATGTTGCCTATGTCGATCATGTTCGGAGGTCCCCCGAAACGAGGTCCTAGACAACGACTGCGGCTCTATTGCGTTGGTCCTTAAGGGCACGTGCACAAAGACTTGCCCGCTATCATCGGGAAGGTCAAGCCGGCTCCGATAGGGGGGCGGCGACAACGGCACATCATTTTAGTGGCGGTGGTGGCCGTTCGGTAGTCTTGAAATCTCGATGTAATTTACTTTTGATGAACTTTGATAATAGATCTGGATATATTTCAAAAAAAAAAAAAGATGGCGGTGGGCTCGCTCGACCCTGGTCCGGATTCGGCATATCAGCATTAAAAAGGTGCCGTTCCATGCTTAAGCAACAGGTTAAGCAGACATCTATCCAACCATAGGTACACCATTATTATTACTCAATCAATCCAGAAATTAATGAACCAAAAGAATATAAAAAAACGATGAAATAGTCCTTCAGAGCACAACTTGCTATAGTAATAAAAATGCAGCAATGACAGTTGGCTATAATCAGCTTCAGGTTTGTCATGCCATTTTTGCTGTCAACCTTATTTATCCTCTGTAGGTAGTCCAAGTGAAATATTCACCACACCAAAACCAAAAAGGTAGAAAAAACAACAACATTACAATCTACCATTTGACAAACAGATACCTTCCATTGCCCTGCTCCGGTCAAAGAGCTCCATTGCGCTTCAAGGCTTCACAAAATCTTTTAGTATTTTCAGATAACCATCATGTCTTCATTACGCCCCGCTCTTGTACCGTAAGGCTGTAACAAGAGTAATATGTTGAAGGTCACTTTGGTTCGTATTAATGAAATGAATTTCAGAACAACGCTGCTATGCGCAGGACACATGCTAGCCGATTTATGCACGGCGTTTAAGATCAAGCCGTACATGCATAGGACTAAAGAGTTGACAGCCGCTGGATGGATTTGTCGTGCAAGGATCGGTCCATAATTATCGTGTGTGAAACAGTTTCGATTTCAGATTAATAAAGCAGTAGAAACAGAGCAAGTTTCTCTTACCTATTAATTTCACTGACCTGTCTAGTTATAGAGGGATTCATCCGGGAAGATATTATGCCCATCTGTCGCAACATGGACTAGGATGCCTTGTTCTTCTTCCGCTAGACAATTCCTGAACACTTGGGCATGCAGGCAGTCAATCATGTACACACGTTTCAGCGAGCACAGGTTCTCTGTGTGATCCAGCATTGGGCAGTCCTGTGCAAACAGGTCCTGCAGCTTACAAAGGTTGGAAATCCTCCTTAAACATGTGTTGTTCATCACCTTGAGCCACACAACTGCAGGAAGGTCGACAACTTCTTGAAGCTTGTGAGCACCTTCAATGTGGATTCTCTTCAAATTAACAATCATGTACATGTCTTGAGGCAGAGCTCTCAGTTTGGGGCAATCAAAAAGCAGCAGACGCTTAAGGCAAGGCATCAAAGAGAGCTGTTGAGAGTTGTCCTCCATGTCATCACACATATTTCTTATGTTCAGTGACCATTTTTCCAAATTACCCATGCTAACGAGGCGAAGCAGTTCAAGTTTTGGGAAGAAAGCCGCTGCACTTCTGACACCTTTCCCCAGGAGTTCTGTGCCAATAGTTACAACTTCATCTGCACCTTTAATGTGAAGAACTAGCAATTCTGGCATCTGACCTGCTGGTGGAAGCACTGAACATGATATACACTCATTCAGGTGCATGTGACACAAACTTGGCATATTAAGCTCTGGTTCCGAACATAGCCATTCTGGGAACCTTATGCCCGGGAACCCATCAATATAAATATATACTAGGCTTGGTGAAGGAATAAGCATATCAAAGACTTGCTGAATTCTCTCAACCACACCAGTCTGGTAACGGGTTCTCTCTCCGGTACTGCCCATTGTGCAACCCAGTCTCAGTTCCCTAAGATTATGACTGTTCTTCAGTACAAGTTCACCCACTGGTGCTGCTTTCTCTAGCTGCTGGACCCACAGACGTTGGATATTGGGGAGGCGTCGCAATTCGTCCAATCTGAATCCAGTCCCACTCTCGAAAACTCCTTTTAGGCTATAGAGCTGCTGAAACTTTGCAATTCCTTTTGGAACATGATCAATTGCAGTCCAGTCTAGCTGCAAAAAACTTATGTTGGACAGCCTCATGAGACCAGCTGGCAGGCTATCCAATTGACGGCAACCAAGCAAAGAAAGGTATTCAAGGCTGATGAGCCTTCCCGTGGACTCCGGAAGTTTGTTAATCTCGGTATAGCTCAGATCTAGCAACCTCAACAACACCAAGTTTCCCACTGAGTCTGGTATGTCCTTGATGCTTGTCCCTCTGAGAACCAAGACACGGATATGCTCAAGCTTTCTGAAAATATCCTTGCGAATTGACTTGAAGTTCTTGTTATTAAAAAGTAGGAGGCTTCTCAAGCACTTGTGCTCTTCTAGAGGGGGGATTTCTTCTATAGCATGGCTGATACCTAAGCGGCGCAGATTCGACATGGAATTGTTACTTTCCGCATTCATGAACAGGGAGTGATCCTTTGTCAGATATTGCCCAAGTGACCTCAATAAATCATGCATCGTTGACTCACCTTTATCTACAAACATAGGTATTGGTTGCAGAAGATTCCTCCTAATTAGTTCAAGGTAATACTCTTCAGCAATTTCATGTATTGAGTAATCATGCTCTTTCCTCACAAAACCTTCGGCAACCCACCAGTAAGCAACATCATCACGGCCTATAGCAAAATTAGGAGGCAACAAAGCACACCAGAGAAAACACTGCTTGAGTTGAGGGGGTAAGTTGCTGTAACTTAAATACAGGGGACCTCCAAGTTCTTTGGGGAGTCCATGAATGGACCATTTACTATCTCGGATGCTCTTCCATTCAGCAACTGTTCTTTTGGTAGATAGAACACCTGCAACAACCTTGATGGCCAGAGGGAGACCATCACATTTCTTTACAATGTCATACCCAATATTCTTGAATTCACATATTTGCTCGGATGATTGAAAGGACTTCTTCATAAGAAGTTCTAAGCCATCACCGTAATTCATTTTGTTTACTTGGTGGATATGTGTTGCATGCATTTCTGACAAAACATGCAGGTCTCTTGTGGTGACAAGGATATTGAAGTTCAAGGCTCTCATAAAAGGCGATAGAAGAAGATCAATCCAGACATCAGATTTCCACACATCATCCAGCACAAGAAAAACACTCTTTCCTTTGATAGTGTCCATTAAAAGTGGTAGAAGCTCAGTCTTGGTCTCTAATTGATCACACTTTTCTCCAGCCATTCGTATTGCCTGCTTTATCAACCCGGTCTCTGTGTAGCTCTGCGAAATGCACAGCCATATATGAACTTGGAATTTCTCTCTTATCATCTGATCATTATATATCTTCTGAGCTAACGTTGTCTTACCAATGCCTCCCATTCCTTGAATCCCCAGAACACTTGTACTATTCTCATGGCAGCCACTGACAATCATTTGTACTATGTCATCAACTGATTGTTTGATTTCTCTTCCAACAACCTCTAGTTCATCTATAGGAGATGTCTGATTTCTGTCCACAGTTGTTACCTGGAACTGTTGACGAATGGATCTATCCAAGCTGAACATCTCTGTGTTCATTTTAATCTCATCAAGCTTTTCATTTATGTCCTTAATTCTTCTAGCCACCTTGTGATCAAATAAAAGCTTTTCAAAACAAGAGACCATAGGCTGATTGAAACAGAGCGATCTAGCTGGTAGCAAAAATTTCTGTGATTGAACCATAACAAGATCTATGATGACATCAACATCAAACATAACATCACTCATGTTCTTCCACCATGCCTCTATCTGTCTATCTTCCATGGCCAGAGCTTCCGCATCCTCACGAACTGCGCGGAAGTGTTCTAGATTTTTCTTCAGCCTTTTGATGTCCTTTTTCACGCTTAGTGTCATCACAATCTCATCTTCAATAAGCTGACTCAGCCTTGTCAAAAATTTCGAAGTAAGAGCATCCAAAACTGTGCCCATGGTGCCCAAACCAGTGGATTCTGACTTTGATGCAAGTGTGCCTCCTTTGATGTTTCGCAGGCCTTATGCTGTGTGAGTTCTACCCTCCTCCGTTCATCACAGGATCATTGTCCAAACAATGCTCTTCTCTGCATAAGTCAGTCATAATTTATGTCATCACACCAAGCTCAAGAAACACCCCCCCCCCTCCACCCCCGAAGACAAATTCGTACAAGAAAAACAATGGGGCACACTAGTTCTTTTTGTAGAATAAAATAGCCTCATCACAGTAAAAAAATCCTTTATAGTAATCGACAAAGTGAAACCCATGTGGCAGATTTTTATAAATCAAGAACGAATAAGATTTCAAACTTCGAAAAATCAGGATCTTGAAAGCAGCGACACAGGAGTTTGCAGTGACAGAGAATGAAGGTAAACTTAAGATTGTACCTTTCTCCTCCATTGACAGATGAAAAAAGGAGCTGAGCACGTGATGGCGGCACTTCCTATGATTTTATGGTTGAAGCCATGATCATTTGTGGAGACATCTGGATAAATAAAAGATGGATGGTTGCCCCAAGCCAGGACCATATAAGAGGCCATATGTGCAATTCAGGATTTCAGGCACGGGGGATAAAAGAAGCAATCATACCACAGTATACATGAGCGGCTTTGACTCCAGCCTAGCTGAGATCTTGCTTGGTTGCACAGACTAGCTTCTTGGATGCTTGCTCCCACCTCATGGCTGCTTCGTTTACATGGAAGGTGGGAAGACTAGCCGGTCTGTCTCTTGTCAAGCTTGTCTTAGGACCGATCCGTCCCTGTCATAGCCACACAATCAAACATGTGTTACTTTGCATTTTCCTTTCCACCTTCCAACTTGCAAGGTGAAGACCCTTTCAGTATCTATCCTTTCCTTGATTTTACTGAGATTCCAGATCTGCAAGTTCGAAGCTCTTTCTCCTTATGACAACCAGCTACAGGAACCATACGCCAGAGACTTCAACTAGGAGCAAATATATTTGCGAAAAACGCACACATGTTTATTTGGGTATTCATCAAACAATTCATAAGCAAAACTAAAGAAAGCGTGGAACCCAGATACAACTCATAAGCAAAACTAAAGAAAGTGACAGAGAATGAAGGTAAACTTAAGATTGTACCTTAATAAGATTGTAATGACAGATGTGAGAAGGAGCCGAGGAAAAGGCAGCTGCGCAGTGGTGGTCTCTTGCTGAGATGAACAACGAAAGGATTCTTGCAAGCCAGGAGCCCAGGACGATGTAGTATATGAAATTCAGGGTAAGAAAGAAGAACCGGCCATGGTGTAGACAAGCAGCGGCGGCCCTGCTCCAGCTGGGAAGTGGTAGAAGGGGGATCTGTTGCTTAGGTGAGATCAAACAGCTCTTGTTGGATGGTTGCTCATCAGAACGTCAAATGCAGAATCGTTCACCTGATCAATTTCTTACAGTATTTGCATCGGATTCCATTAGTATGAAATTAGCCAGGAAAGGACAATCATTGATGCACTTGAAGTCGTTCAGTCTGTTTAGTTTATTGATCCATAATATAGTATGGTTGTCCTCATCTACTTGCACTGACAAGGCCTCAGTTAGGTGTAGAATCATTATATAGCAAGTGCCAACTTGGCTTGTCTCCTAGTACAAGGTTGCAAGATTTTGATTAGGATAGCGATTTTTTAACGCAGAAAAAATGTAGCGGCGAGTGAGATTAGGAAGTGCACCTGAGCATTTCGTCGAACAGCTCGTATGCATCCACTGAGTTGTTGTTGTCTCAAGCAAATATTCAACGGAATGCTAGCATCCAACCATTTCCGTTCCTGCTCTCCCTGTGTCTCACGAGTCACCGAAGCAATCAGGGAGGCATCAAAGTTAGTCATAAGAAAACGATGGACGTAATATGCTAGAAGGGGCTTATACAGTCAGGCTCAGCAAGGGTAAGCAAGGGCAAGCAAGCCGGCGAGACCGGTCAAGGCTTGGAAATTGCAGCGAATTTCGTTTAAACCAAGAAACAGAGGAGCAGCTGGTGAGATTAGGAAGCGCTAGCGAGCATTTCGTCGAACAGCTCGTGTGCATCCGCTCATCTGTTGTCCCAAACATTTGTATTCAGTGGAATGAATGCTAGAGCAGTAGAGCAGCAACCACCGGGCGGTGGGCAAGCCAGCCGGCGACACCGACCAACAATCACATGGCGGTTGGTCCTCCCATGAACCGAGCAATGAACGAACGAGCAGAGCATAGCAGAGCAGCTGGCCCGGAACAATGAGCCGGCAAGTCCGAGGCAGCGAGCTGCTCGTACTAGATCGGGGTGATGCGGCACGAGCAGATGGGAGGCGGCGAGAGCAGTTTGGAGCCGGCCAGCCGGGGACCGGGGATGCCGACGCCGAGAACCCACCACGGCGAGGTTCAACCCTGCCAAAAAAAATTGTGTTATTAACTAAGCTTGACTAATAACCCTGCCACCGCAATATACTTTCTTGGAGAAACAGTAAAAACTTCTGCTGTGGCAAGAAAACGCTACCGCTATACAAAGTTCTCGCGGATGGCTATATTGGCATATCATTCGTTAGTGAGTGAGTCAAAATCTTCTTATTATTTGGACACGTGTGATA